AATACAAACATTTAATCTAAACAGCCCATTAGAACAGAAATTCACGTATTCAAACGGCATATATTTCTTTTGTTTTTCGTTTTATATGACGATTTTAGTATACAATTACTGAAAAATATGTATTTTGTCTCCAACATTAAGAGCTGTGACGCAAAAGATTTATAATCAACACTGGCTTAGATTCAATTTGTATTTCATCTTTCCTCTTTACTTTTACTTTTTACGAAACAAACGATAGTGCTCGAGGTTACTGTGACGCTCTACCAAAAGAAAATAATGAACTCGTGCATTTCAGAACTTTTATATTATAGTTTACAACATAAGTTTATATTTAATAAACAAACAAGTCTTGATAAATGAGATTCAAAAGATGATTCACATTTGGAAGTCGTAGTTTTACATATTAATGAAATCTATACAATTTTATGGTCTATAAGAAAAGTGTGCGATTCTATTTGACGAAATTTAACTACATGTACAATTATTTTGCATCTAGAGTTATTATTTTACAACCTTGAAATATTCAAGACTCTGGCATGTAGCATCGGTTTTTTTTTTTAAAGTTTGTTTTTGGCGATGAAGGGTGGGGTAAGAAATAATTGACAAGACATAAAAAGGGGGAGGAGGAGACCTAAAATGGGAATAAGAAGAAAAATTAACGGCATGAATCTTTTCACGAAAAAGCCCTCCACCTTACCCCACCCCGCTTTCTACATGAGCTTGAGACTCCAAACTTCAATTGTCTAATAGATACAACAGTTCAGATTTCCAGGAAACATGAATTCGCATCAGAAAAAATAATACAACTCTAAATGGTAGATTTTGAAATTGAATTACGTTTTTGGTTTTTAAGATTAAACTATAATACTATCATGTTGTAAATTTTGAATTTACTAGGGGGAGGTAAATGCAAAATTTACGACATGATTTTGTATTTACCTCCCCCTAGTAAATTCAAAATTTACTACATGATAATACTTTTATATATTTAATCATAAAAAACGTTTTTGAATATTGAAAGCGCTTGTCTTCACATATCGTTATTTGTATTGCGAGTAATACTAAAGTTTACCCAGCATGAATTTATATTGTTAAATCTGTGACCCATAAATGTATACTTTCTTCAAGATACGCAATTTCTCTTCCTGCCAAATATTTTCTTTTTCACAACAATAATTTGAATGAAACCCCTTATTGATAAATTTCAAGTTTTCTTAAATTTAGCTAACATTTGCCCTGTTTACATACTTAAGGTTTGTTTTAGAACTGTATACTACTTTTCTTTTATACATGTAACCCTACCTACGTCTGGAGACCATAATTTGAAGAGGGAAAATTGAATTGATGTGACATATCACATGTATGCTTTTCGATTTGGCCAATAGAGGTCTTGTCGTGCCTTCTAAAGAGGATTTTTGAGCCTTTTTTCCCTAATATTTCTTTTATAAAACCACCCAACAGTCCCAGCCCTTTCCCGGGTGCCATGATTTCGGAAAATTCAAATTTACAGTATCTGGTTGTGCTTGCTTACCCATTTGATTAATCGTGGCTATGTTGCTATTAAGACCAGGCCCTTTTTTTTGGACAACAGTCTTTTGCAAATAATAAAGTGATCATAAAAATAATAATAAAAGCACCATCACCACGAAATAGGATGATGGAGTTCAGTCAGTTTTTCCCTTTTTGTTTGGTTGTTTGTTTGGTTGGTTGTTTTGTTATCTGTTTTTTGTTTGTTTGTTTGTTTTTTTCGCTTGTCAATTTTTTGGAAGCTGCTCCACTCTCATCTCCACTTTGAAAATGTTGCCAAGGGCCTGGAGACTTCGGAAACTTAAAAAAAATATTACGTGGCACTAATACGCCTCTGTAGGAGACTGAGATTTTTTCAAATACATCTTTCCCTCTGTGTCCCAATGTAGAATTTCTATCTCCTATTGAGGTCCCACCCTAGCCTTTGAATAGTTTTGAATCATTTGCCATTTCTCTCCGCTTTGTAGAGAACGTGTCACTAAACTTGATTGAATGCCAATGGAGAGGAAGACGAACATTTTAAAACCTTGAGAGGCATTGCAGATAAAATCAGACAAGGAAGACGGACAAATTTGGTCAGAAAATCTTTGGTTCAGGTTGACTAAAAGGAAAGCGAACATTTGCCTCATTCTGCCTACAAATTGAATCGGGTAAACTACACAATATAAAAACAAAGAATGTAAAACAATTTATGTTTAAAATCCTATGGACTCAAATAAAAGGCCTGTAGGAAGCAAACAAAAAAGGACATCAGACGTTTATTGAGAGGTAACAATCGTAAAATATATGTTTATTTTCTATTGTATAGTATATGTTGGCAAAATTATAGGGTGGGGTGGGGGTGGGGGGTGGGGGTGGGTTCCTAAGGGCCTGATTAACAAACACATTTGTCTTATGTATTATTTCAACGACAAGTTAAAACGACATGTATGGTTCCATTGCATGAAAGCAATTCCTTCTGATTGATAGGCACATTTCATTATAAAGTACTAAAGTACTAATACGTTTCTTTAAATAGGTTCCTAATCGCAATTATAAAGAAATTAAGAGTTGCATCGTGGCCTTACTATAGACCTTGAACTTTCCCTTAATAGGCGTTATAACGCGGAAAAAGGCGTAATAACGCCTTTCGCGTTATAACGCGAAAAAAGGCGTAATTACGCCTTTCCAAAAGGCGTTATTATGCCTTTCCAAAAGGCGTTATCACGCCTTTTAAAAAGGCATTATTACGCCTTTCCAAAAGGCGTTATTACGCCTCTTATTTTTCAATACATGACTTACTTAACACACCCTGGTGACTGATTATAATTAGATTTCCAGGAAAAAAGATTTTTAAATGTGTAAAATATTTTCAGTGTTAAACCAACTTAGTCCTTCTCTGATGCCAGACACCTCTACCAAGGTGCATGGATTTCAGAAATTTGGTTGAAGGCTAATTGCTCATTATACTTATGCAAATAGTTTGCCTGTTTTTTCCCAAGAGGAGAAAAATAAATGAATTTTTAATATATGGGTAGCAAAGCCCAAAGCTGGCTCTGCCTATATCCTGGATTTTCAAAAGTAGAGTGTTGACTTCTCTTAATACGCATGCAAACAGCTGTCTGCGAGATGTGCAGGAATACAGAAAATACTATAATTTATAATATAATTTATAATATTAAAACTATAATCTAAATATTGCATAAATAAAGATGGCTTTGGTTCAATCTTTCATATATTTATTATTTTAAAAATAACGCCTTTCCATTTTTTTTATATAACTCCTTTTCAAACAGGCCGGTAGTACTAATGCGAGGGGGGGGGGGCTCCCCCTCCCCACTACTTTTTGGGAGAATAGTCTTGCTGTAGTTTAAATATAAAAAATCATTTATTGCTTGCTTGGTCCCTTAACATTTTGTTGCAGTATGGTTAAACTCGGGCAAGTCATTGCATTTAAAAAAGTTTTACCGAAAAGTTAGAAAAACATTCCCCTCAAGTTTAGGCAGTTTATTATTTTTTCGGGGGGGGGGGATTCTTGTTTTTTCGTCAATTTTTATGTGAGGCTCCCCCCCCCCCTTCAAAAGCACGGATCTGCCAAAGACATAATAATGGCTCTTCAAAAGGCATAATAACGCCTTTTAGAAAGGCGTATTAATGCCTTTTAGAAAGGCGTAATAACTCCTTTTAGAAAGGCGTAATAACGCCTTTTGGAAAGGCGTAATAACGCCTTTTAAAAAGGCGTAATAACGCCTTTTGGAAAGGCGAAATAACGCCTTTTCGAAAGGCGTAATTACGCCTTTTCGAAAGGCGTTATTTCGCCTTTTTTCGCGTTATAACTCCTTTTGGGAAGGCGTAATTACGCCTTTATTTGCGTTATTACGCCTTTTTCCGCGTTATAACGCCTTTTCAAAAGGCTCTATTACGCCTTTTTCGCGTTATGACGCCTTTTCAAAAGGCGTTATAACGCCTTTTAATTTTTTTTTTTTTACCGTAGTTTGATCCTAAAAGGCTTTCGTACCTTTATGAACATAATGGTTTTGGATTAAAAAAAAAAAGTGTTCCAAAAGAACAGGCCACAAAATAATATGTCAGTAGACACAAAAACATGTACCCTCCCTGTACTACATACATGTATGGTTTATGGAAGTGCATCTTTTTAAAGTATGACTCCCCCCCCCCCCCCCCCCAGTCTCCCTTGCCCTTATTTTTATTTATTTATTTATTTTTAAAAAGTTTTCCAGTTTCTATCCTTGCTTATCGCCTTATTATTTGTGAGCTTCTCAATTTTTCCCTGTAAGAGATTTTGGGTGGAGCACTTTTTCCCTCTTTATGTATGGACCCATTCCTAACTCCAGAATTACTGTATTATATTATTCAGATGTTAAAAAAATGAGTTCATTCCTCTCAAAATGACAGCACTAGTTCTTCGAGCTGCAATCCCCCCCCCCCCCAAAAAAAAATATCTTGAATATTCGAATATTCATCCAATGCGATGTTAATGACACTTGATGGAGATTATAATCTGCTAAGTCAGGCATACAAGTGTCGTAAAGTGGTTTCTTTTACCAATAACCAGTCTGTCAATACAATAAATAAACTGTAGTACTATTAGAAAATATGATCAAGCACAACTAAAAATATCTACACTTAACAGCCCAGCATATCTATATCCCAAGTTTTGCTGCAGCTTACTTAGCAAGGCAACAGGAAAGTGTCAATAAAATCGTAGCACATAACGCTGTTATTTATAACTTCAGTATTATATTGTATACTTGTGGCTATAGTTTAGTTCAAGACTCCCCATGCTCTCTGTATTCCATTCTTCCTGACTCTGAATATTTGAAGTGTATTTTCATATACGAGTATACGTACATGTATCAGGACATTTTAACAAAATGTCGGTAGATGAAGTGCTTCCTATATTATAGAATTTTATGAAGTGTCATAAAAGATTTTTCTGATAAATACATGTTTAAAACAGAAAACTAACAAAATTTTGTAGGGCTAATACCTTTTATTATTTTTTTTTCACATGACAAAATGAGGAATGTCATCATATTCAGTTACACATGACTATTATACAAAATTCAAACCAACAAAGGCGAGAGTTTCCTTGTTGTGGATTGTTCTATAACAATGGATGTAGCACCTAAAACAACTATACATAGGACACACATATTGCACTGTCTTCTCATGACAATAATGAACATCTCAGGAAATGATTGATCAAGCTAGGACAAAAACTAAAAGGACTTTTTCACATTATGATTACAGTAAAACCTTTAAACAATTTTTTTATTTCTTGTGGTAAAATATTGCTATAAATCTAAACCATATTAAGCACCATAATATTTCAAAACAGTTCTAAAATAAAACATTTTTTTTTTGTTTAAGAAAGGAATAAAGAACCATCCTTAAACAGGGAACTCAATTTCATGAACGTCAACAAAATGCACATATGAAATGAGGGCTCATTTAAACTAATATGTACTTTTTCTTCATAATATATGTACAACAACAAAAAAACTACTCTATTTTTCACTGTTCCATGACATGGCATAAATAATGGCTGAGCTTTGCTAAGCAGTACATCACCAAAGGACTTGTCCTCTAACACAAGCCCTAACTCTCCCACTGCTTTGATTGCTCGGTATAGTTACATGTAATGTCCTCCTCACATTGATGAGTATTTAATGAAGTATGGATTTCATAATGATCTACAACATGCCATTTGTGTCTAAGGTTAATGAAAACATTTTGTAGGTATACTTGTGGTAATCTACACAGATCTTGACTATGAGGGTGGGCAAGGTATAGATTCAGTGTTGATTTTACTGGACTTCTCCTTTGAGGGGGGTCATGTAAGGAAATCTGGTGTTGACTTTACTGGACTTCTCCTTTGAGGGGGGTCAGGTAAGGAAATCTGGTGTTGACTTTACTGGACTTCTCCTTTGAGGGGGGTCAGGTAAGGAAATCTGGTGTTGACTTTACTGGACTTCTCCTTTGAGGGGGGTCAGGTAAGGAAATCTGGTGTTGATTTTACTGGACTTCTCCTTTGAGGGGGGTCAGGTAAGGAAATCTGGTGTTGTTGTTATTATGATTAATGAAATTCTCAAACAGGTGACTCGCTCGGTCCTGTGAAACATCTGAAAGAGCAAAGAAGCAATCAAATGTAGAACCATTTCTGTCTGGAAGTCTGGAAAATGTACACATGACTTTATATATAAAACAAGAAAATAATTGTGAATATATAATCAGATTTATGAGGTTTTATACCTGAATTTCTTCTCTCTGACTCAGTATTATTCTCTTTTTCTGTCTCCTTTTCGTTTGGCATTTCTACAAAAGCAAAACACAAATAATGCTACTTTCCTGATAATTTTATTTCATAAACCGATTCTTTTTTAACGCAAGAATTTAATAGTGGACAGAGGAACTTACCAGGTGTGACTTTATCTGAGTCTTGGCTGGTGACACTAGCCGCATCATTCAGATTGCTTTTGTTTTCCTCGCTCTGATTCGCACCAACCTGTTCCTGTAGTCTGCGACGAGCTCTCTTTTCCTTCTTGATGCGCCGTAATAATATGGCTGAAAAAGGACAAACCGAAGTCATTTTTAACTCTCATTTCAAAAATCATTTTTTACCAAACATAGCAATGTAGATTACTTATTATGATATTTAAAAATATGAATATCCCAGACATTACCTTTGCTTTTGTGTTCTTCTGAGAGTTGCTTCTCTAATCCCTCTCTCATTTCTTTCTCCCTGAGTAATTCCATTTTAAGCTCAGCTGAAGAAGTAAAAAACAATACATCATAGATTGCTGGCATTTGTATGGCAGATTCAGTTGAATGTCACATCCATCATAATGAGGGGCTTTGCTTACAAAGGACAAATTACTAATACCTCACAATCATAATGCTCTTTGCATGTACTGATATCAGACTGATTAGATTATTTAACCTCATAATTACACAGACAACAGTTCCAACCAAAGTGGCCATAATGGTCATTTACTGAAAAACTGAGGAGAAGTCAGCCATTTCTAAAACACATGAACAATTCCTGATTGTGTAAATGTTTTCAAAAGAAAAAGAAATATTTGATATCAGAATATGATTGATAGAGAGAGGGATATCAGAGAGTAATACTGTACAGATCCTTCAATCAATCAAGTCATTAGAAAAAAGATTCCTCTTAAAAGCCCTCAGATTGGCTGCAATGGTAAACTTATTACAAATGATAGGTTTGGGATCTCAGTAGCACTGAATATGATAAATTACATGTATCGCCTTTCAGTCCAATATCACAAACATATTGAATTTTTGTTTTAATTAAAATGAGAGACACTACAATAAAAGTTCTGATTCAGGTACAATATTGAATTTTGCTTCATACTGTATATAATTTAATTAAAAAGAAATGATTTAGAGTTTGTAATTGCCTGGAAAGATCCAAGGATATAGAAACTGCACATTTATTGAAATTAGAAAAAGTAGCTATTGTGTTAGATAAATAGTATTTATAAGACAAAAGCATAGCAGACAGTGATTATTTGTAATGCTTCTGGGTGTACCAAACGTTTGGCTTTAATGGATAACCGTCATTGTTACTATTAATTACAGATAAATCATGTGATCCAAATCACAGACGAGAAAAAAACTGACAGACTCATTCCAAATAATGGATCATTTAATAATGTCCATTTCCATATATCATGTTTTTACTTAAATAATTTGTCCAATCTGATATATGAAACTAGCTTTAGGACAATATTCTAGCATTAGAAATATGGAATGGTATCTCTTTCTGTCATTCATAGAGTCATTTAGGAGACTGCTCATCACTGGAGACACAGAACAATGGCTGACAAATGCCTAGTGGTAGGCCCTTGTATGGACCTGAAACTGATCAAATCACTTGATACCTCAGAAATATTACACAATTCCCATTTTCACTAATTAATGAAAAAAAAATCACAAAAAAAAACAAAGATATAACTCATCAGATTATTTTTGCAGATGACAAAAGATTTGTATTGAAATAACAGGCATCATTAGAATTAATCTGTAAGTCTTTTTAATCTCTCTGATGATGTAACCATGATTTTAATTCCTCTAAACCACTAATCCTAATTGTGTTTCAAAATGACAAATTGTTTTCTTCTTCTGGAATAGGATCTAATCTATTCTCATCACAAAATATCATTTGATGTTCCGATTCAGTATAATGACAAAAATAATTGAAAACTAAATTCATTGATATAAATTGCTGCTAGACTTGTCCCACAATTCCTTTGGGTTTGGTTAATTTCCTGCTAAACCAATTAAAATGCTAGGATTTCAGTTTTGTTTTCGTCATCTATCATGAAGTGACAAGCACAAAATGATCATTTCTAACAGTGTTTTTGCCTATGAACTGATGTGACCCTAGGGATAATCATATCAATGCTATCACACCACATTCCCAAAGGGACTTTGGCAAAAATGTTTTCATTGCTATCAGTATAAATTTATTAAAGACTTAAATGTCAAAGATCTATTTCACAGTCTCTTTAAGCATACTAAATGAATCAGATCCCCCCTTTCTTGAACAATGCAAAAGAGCCTGCATATTTACTTTTTTCCAAGACAATTTTTTTTTCAAATTAATATTTTGAAGTCAACTAAACATTCCCTATTGGCAAGAATGTCAATTCATCAAGTCCTTTTATTAAAAAAAAAAATACAGAAGAAATATTCGCTCACTGTTGTTTTATAGTGTTCACAAATGGACTTGAACATGTGTTATAAAATAAGGGACATCTCAAAAAAATTACAGCTAAGCATGCTCAGATTTTTACAAAATGAATGTAATCTACATTATTCTAAAACATGTACTTCCTTATAACTTTAAAGTTTACTGAGACACATAGAATTATTGTAAACTCTGTCAAATAAAGTATGATTGGTTCCATTGCACACTGCACTCCATGCATATGAAAGAATAAATATCACAAGATGTAGGGTATCATTTCACAGATTTCAAACACATGAATGCTAGAACGCGACCAGTTGTTTTGTGTGCGGTAATGAATGCGAACCTGATCAGACAGGAGATTAATATCATTAGCTGGTTACATTAGCTTGTCAGATTTTTAACTAATATAATCAGCTTCCTTTTTACCATAGTAATCATTGTGTGTAAATGTGTTGAAGCTGTATTCTAATGGGAGGGGACAGGACAAGTGAGAAAAAAGGCACATCACAAAATGCTTAGGAATCGTAACAGTAGCACAATGGAGGCAAATTAGCACAACAGTCTAGCCCAACAGAAACATGATACTTTAAACTTCTCTTGCCTTGTTCAGGCAAACTGCTTCTTTGGATCATCAGAGGTCACAACTAGCAGATGATGATTTTTTTTTTTTATTGTATAAGTCTAAGCACATCCTTATACAAAATTGAATAGAAATGGCATTAAAATTACATCAATTGCCATCAAATGATTATTTTCTAAGGCTCATGCAAATACATTGCAATATTGAAAAGTGAAATGACTTTTTTTTCAGCATTAAATCTGAATTTGGAATTGACAGCTATTTGAAATATACAAATTCATACAAGATCCCAGTTGAAGATATTCATATTTCAAATTAAATATTCTTCATAATTCATAAAATCAGAATTAGGGTTTCTTAAAGATGAATAGAAGATAATCTATTTATAATATTTCCATATGAGATATTATAACATATGTAATATTTCTCCGCGGTTGGGCGGTTTTTATTGCTGACATTTAACACTAACTTTAGTTCAGGTAGTAAGTTAACGCTGCCTGCACGCCCATCTCATTTTCACATCATTCACAAATCAAAAATAGAAATTCTTCTTTATCATTTTTAGTTCTTTATTATTTTGATTTTGTACAGTAAAACCTGATACTTAGATTTTATCATTGCTCTACACAGATTTTGATCATTTTCACTTTGTAATTATTTTCAGTCTTTATAATGCTTGGACTTCATTGTTGCATGAAATAATGGCCGTGAAGAACATTTATCTTCTTAAGCACGATATCAGGATCACAGAGAAATCTTTCGTTTATGATTTTAAAAATGTATCCAGCTGGCATTTAATTATCAGAACAGAAAAACTCTTTGTAGACTTAGAAGCCCAGTACAGTGTACTCTGACCTAACATTGCCTATTTGATTAAAAAGATTTTGTTTGCATACAACTCTAGCACCCAAATTGTTTTTAATCTCATGTTTAAATAAATGTAAATTTAGGCAATTTAAATTGCAATGCAAATTCGATTATTTATTTATCAGTCATATATTTGATCATTTATCAAGCCTTTTTTCATGTGTTTAGATTGCATGAAATATTAACAGCATGAAATGATTTGAATTGTTGAAAATATGATTGTAATAGTTTCGTATTAAATGAATGTTGCGATGTAATTCCTCCCATTCCTATACACACACAATGCTAATGCACGCACTGAATCAATATGGCTCATTGAAACCCACTGGAAAGTTCTTTATTCCAATTAATAGACACCTTGTGACAATACTGATTTATTCAAATACTGCTAATTCCAAAGCAAACATTTAAATGAATCAGAATTTGATTTATAGCTTTCTAAATAACAGCCACTTAATCATTCTGAACACTGTTTTAATTTCAATCCAACTGAATGTTCTTTTCGATTTCAGTTGAGCGAAAAATTTCTCTGGGAATAATGTATTGAGAATTAGAGTAACATGGCAATAGTGAATTCAAATAAGTGATAAATACAAGATTTTCTTTTTTCAACAAAAGTAGTATAATTTGGTTGAATTGCCGGACTAGTCTGGGTGATTGGGTGCGGAATCAATGAAGCATCCACAACAACGACTGAAAACGCACTGATGACCCTCAGATCCTAAGATCCAAATGTTATTGCTCTTGTTTCTGTGTTTTTTACAACCTTTTCATTCATTGGTTTTTAAGAGGGTCAAGAAGTAATTCATATATTTGATATTTTTTTCAGTGCACAATTGCAAGATGTATCTGGAATTAATGCTTTCTTTTTGCATTGATGATACGATATGTGATTTTTAATGTAATAAAGAATGATGTAAACCCATAATAACAGGATTGACTCTACAACATTCTGTAAGTGAATCTCCCCTATTATTATCTTCATCAGCCAAACCTGTGGATCTTGGGTCCTTGCATGAGTGACATAATTATATCTTTTTTTTCTTCACAGATGCATTTAAATGCAAAAAGTTATGGAAGAATTTATAACTTATTCAAATGTTTGAGCTTGCAGTGATGTAACACAAGTCAAATACTGATAAGATCATTGCAGCCAAGATGAAACGATGAATATCGGATATTATTACCCGATTCTGTCAAGAAATAGTCAACAAGAAAATTTACTATTAACACTGATAAAAGTGTTTTCTTCCAATAATTGCTAAACCCTGTGTAAGGGTGAAGAATAATTTGATATAGGCATCAAAAGAATGGCCATCCATGTGTCAAATTTCACATAAAAAGAACAAAAGCATTTTTTTTAACTATTCAAACTATTTCGGTTTTGATTATTTAATGGCAGTGCAAGAGTCTGCATAACAACAATAAGAATTTAAGCAGATGAAAATTGTTTCTAGATTTAGATTTTAATCTGATAGTGAAGGTATTAGAAACTTATTGCAAAGGGGAGGGGGGATACTTACTCTTTTCAATGCTGAGTTGTCTTTCATGGTGGCGGGCATTTTCGGCAGCGACTTTGAGGAGTCCTTGAATATTCAGGAGGAGGGTTTCTATGGAGGAAATGTTCGGGATTTCTCCATTCTGGAGCTGGGCTTGGAATGAGGACACCTGGGGTGCCACTTTGTCCCCAAGGTCGCTGCCATTCAGGGAATCGCTGCCCACAAGGCTGTCCTCCAAATCTGCAAACAAGAAGTTGATGTAATAAACTGATTGAAAATATGCAGCAAATTAAACAAAATGATCAACTGCTTTCTTGAGAGAAAAGAATGCAAGAATGTCATTTTTTTAATGTGCAATCTCAGGCAACAAATTCTTTTACCAGTCAAATAAAAGTAAAGTATCACGGAACTCATTGTGACAAAAGAAATACCTCTGAGTATTTTGAAGTTCTGATCATTTGTAACTTCTAAAAGCTTATTAACAACTTACACTTGCAGTGTTGCTAAGGAATGCATTATTTTATTAAGCAACACTTTATCATTTGTAGAAGTGTTAGGCTTGAAACGTTTTGTGAAATAACTCAGATAATAGCCATTAATTCAGATCAGGGTAATTGAAAACACAATCTGTATCAATCCATACATACGATTCATACCCCACAAATCAAACATATGACTGACCCTGATAAGAACATGCTGTATCACATCAAATGCATGTAACTCAAGACGTATTAACTACTAATGTGCATATTTACAAGAATTCTAATCGACTGTCATCTTTTGTGTTGGTATGAGGCTTCCTCCTCCTGATGACTGATCCCTAAGAGGCTCACGTCTTCTGACAGAACTTGTTTATTATCCATACAGATGAACAAATGTTTAACACCTGTGCAAATGTTACATCATATTTGCAGGAGAAAAAAAGTTATATATCTGATAAACGTCTTGACCATTTGTTGCATTTCAGCTGTACAATTGAGGTGATAGGAGGTCAACAGCTTGGCTTTACTTGATGAGCATGTATCAGTACCTTCTCTACCATATGGCCAGTTAATATAAAGAAAGTTCAGGAAGAATAATAACTTAATGTCTCTCCAAATCCCTTAATTGTAGGCTTTTGTGGAAACTGGAGAAAGTAAAAATTCCATAGATCGTACAAAGAATACATTTCTTTTTTCCCTGTATACTTTCAGTATTTGAATGGTGATCAAATAAAACCTTTATGACCCCCTGATTTTTAAATATTTGGTCTGAAAAATAATTCAGATCTTCATGACAGTCGAATGACACAGCACAGCAGACATTTGATTACTGAACAAATAATCTCTCTCTATCACTGATTTGATGATCTGCCTCTTGGCCAATCAATCAGTATATGCCTTTGACTGAATTTATTCAACTGATAAAAACAATGATTTTCTTCATCTGATTGAAACAAAAATCTTATTTCATGCATGCCAGCATTGTCAACCTAAAGTCTCCCATTACTAGAAACATCTTATACCTTCCAGGGACATGCCATTTCCGCAAAGATGGTCACAGAAATGTTTGCTTGATTCTTGTAACATCTAATATTGTGTACATTCATTAATATCATTCTGCCATTTTTCTGGGTACTGGCCTCAAAGTGAATTTTTCATTATCTGGTATTTAATTGCATTCCATCTAAAATGATCAAATTTGTGGTCAGCTCAAATGATTAGATGACGTTAACAGCCAAAGATCCTGAAGGATACAGTGCCAGAAATTAAATTTCCACATCAACAAATTCTTAATGTATTGAAAAATACTCATTTCTGTTGGGAAGTGATTCTTTTTTTTCCCTACATCTATCTTCTATCAGATGTTTGTATGACTGCATTTTACTTATAGCTCATGTTTGTAATGTCATTTTAAATTTGTTGTTCTAGAAGAAAAAGCTCCTCTTGTTTTCAGTAATATAAATCTTGGCATGCATTTGAACACCTGCAGATATTTTCTGATAGATAATCACAAAATTATTTGTTGAATAATTGTCTGGATATCCCAAAATTTGTTTTCACAAATTGGTTCTAATCAGGCAGTACATCGCCTGAAGAGAGAGAGGAAGGGGACCCAGTGGTCACTCCAACAGTTGTCCACTGTGTGGTCATCAAAGCCTGTGTTGTTTAATAATTTTGAGCAATGGTTATGGATGTCTTTGACAATTACAAACCATGTCTTTTTTTTCCTTACAAGGAAATTAGTTTTTTTTTTTTTGGGGGGGGGGGGGGGGGGATGAAATGGTACATCTTTCAAGTTAGGTGTAAATCTAATCGAAATGTGGTGATGATTTATTCTTCTTGGATTTTCTGGTTCCTGGGAGTGGTTCCCGGCCCAAAGCAGAGTCCAGTACTAATTATACCTACCATCATTATGATCATCAGAAAGTCTATCATCATCCTCTTCGTCCTCACTTTTCCCATGGTACTTAGTCGAGAGATCTTTGGCATGGCCATTCACTTGTAAATTCAAAGGTTTGTTATCTGAAATAAAAAAAAAAAAACAAGAAAAATTAATCATGTTAAGAAAGGACTTCTGCTCAGCTAACAAGCCAGAAGTTATTAAATCTTCTGAAGCTATATATTAAATTTTATCAAAGAAATAAACTGAGTCATATTTTGTTTGTTCCTTGTGAATTTTATTCTAGTAGCAATGGTATAAAAGAATGCTCCTTGTTTCCCAAATGTTGACTAAACTTTTATCAGAAATGTACAGACTACGAGTTTGTCTTTAATGTGTGTAATCTCTAAGGCTTATTAAAGTAAAAAGGGAATAAAGACAACTGATATGAAAATGTTTTATTAACACACACAAAGAGGCCAAAAAAAAGATAACAAAAAGCCGAATCTGAGCTAACTTTGTTAGGAAGTTTTGTATGAATGAAGTTGGAATCACTAATAGTGAAACATTTACACCACATTAGTACGCTCCACTTTTCATACTTGGAGTAGAAATATTAATTATGTGAAACAGTTTTCCATTAACATGTAATTAACCCCCTACAATCTGTCTGAAAACAGACAGAAAAAGCGAAATTGAATTAATTTTACAAGACTGTAAAAGAAAATTAAAGTTGGGCAATAAAATAAATACATTTAATCATTCAATTCAATAAAGTAATTTAGTAGCTCGTTAGGAATCATCAAATATAAGTGTACTAATCAGACCTGATGAGGAGCCCGTCCTCGCACGATATAACGGCAATACATTTGAATGGCAAATATGTGTTTTAAGATTTGAAGCCAATTTATTCTGAATTGATATTTGTTGCCAATCTTGAGTAGTGGCATCTTTCCGACGACTTCAGAATCACGATCACAGTAGTAAGCAAGGGCTTCAACAATTTACAATCCCCAGACTTATCTCTTAGCTACTGAATATGTTCATTTCTTTACAAATTGTACTTGTGATAATTCGCAGAAAATATCATTTCATATCGTGTAATTAGGAGTTCTACTTGACGGAGACTCTAATAGGGAGCTTTCTCAGTCTGGGGGATAACATTCAGAAAACCTACATTATAGTTACATTTCAGATGATTTTCGATAATAAAAAGAATTGAATTATATTTTCTGATATGATGAAAGCCATAGTAAATGTTTTTTTTAAACAAATGTTTTTTTTCAATTTAGTTGGAAATTGATTTGGTGATATAAATGTGTGAAGTTCTCTATGCAATGATATAAGAAATATTCATCTCACAAGAACCATATAGATTCAACTATTTTCTCATCACATTTTTCTGAGGCAAAATTTAATTTTGAGAGGTCTCTTTCCAAAAAATCTTACTATCATAGTCCAAACTTCGCAGTCGGTCAGATTCATAATGTGGTGATGTAATGTGGCTACTCTTTAATGAATTGTCCAAGCGCTCATCCCGACATCTAAAACAAAACAAGATAATTTTTATTGACAAATTCACATTCAATTTCAGTGTAGCATATGGTTGTGTCATTTTATTCATTAACGTTGCATTTGATAAATATTTATTTGTGATCTGTACCTATTAGTATAGATTTCAATTTCATATATACCTTCCCCAATTTTTTTCCTGCAACACGGTTTACTTCTACAATTGCTGATCGAAACCTGCAGTTAAATATGATATGCTACATCTGTAGCATTGCAGGCTTGTTTATCACAAAAATACATCTATCGACATCTTGTAATTATTCCCATTAATATTCCATCTGACAATTTTCTTCATTTGAAATACATTTCTCCACATCCTATTTTTTTGCATACTGTTGGAACAAACAGATTAGCTCATGTCAAACAGATTCTGTACCTTCAGATTCAAACAACATTTCAAATGTTGCTGCGTCTTTCATCTGCAATCTCTATAGTACTTCTGAGGAAGTGCAAACCTTTCTAGCCGAACAATCCATTAGAAACAAACATTGGTTTGGACCAGAAACATTTTCTATGATATTTTATTTTCTCACAAGCAGATTTTGATCAAAACTAAAAAAGTTACATAAAACTGTAATTAGGCTTTGCTGCAAGATATATAAAATTGGAGGTTCCCAAAAATTTTTTGATTTCATCTGCTGATTAAATAACTGTACAATGTAATCATTATAAACACCATTTTAATAAGACACAATCCTAGAGCAAATTCAAATATTATAGGAATTAACAAACCCAAAATTAAGCTTTCAATTACGGATTCTTGTTGATTATATAAGTATTTTGAAGATACATGTTTTATTCAGCAAATTTTACTAACGCGAAATAATGAGTTGAGCATCTGTCATGTGAAAAAGAAATTATTAATTAATAGCATTTCTTTTTGTCAGTTTTATAACGTAACATTTACTTTATAACTGAAATTCTACAGCTAATTGTACAGATCAAAAAGATACCCTCTTTTACATACAGAACATAAATGACAAATCAGATTTAAAGAAAAACTATTTCTTTTTTAGTCAATGGTGAATTAAATTCTGTATGCAACTTATTATGAGCATTATGGATTAAATTTGAATCCGGGTTTGAACATTACAAATGACTTCTGTTGTTGTCATATTAGTTTAATATTAAATATTTATTTTGGCTAACTTTCACAAGATGTTATCTAATTTGCTCTCTCTCATATATGACACTCAAACAAACACATATAGATTTTCGTTATTTCAGAGAAAATTCAATTTTTGCTTATCAATAATTTTCACTTCTGAAGTGTAACATTTATCATAAAAAATGTATTTCCTACTATATCATCTGTGACATCTGGACAGGAAAAAAAAACATGAAAACTTAAAAATGATATCCTCTTCTTCAATTTGAAATTTATTTTTGTTAAATCAAATAAACAGGAATTGAAAGGGAAATGAGATAAATGTAGTTTTGTTTCCTTTCCCTTTAGAGTGCTTGTTCCTTCCTAAAGTTTATGCAAGTTCAGCCTTCCAAAGAATACAATTACTTTACATTTAAATTCAGTATTAACTAGGGAAAGGGTGCAGTAATACAAGCAGATGTACGTTGTCCTTCAAAACAATAAATAAACTCTTCTTATTGTTTGTATTTAGTATAATTACAATCCTCATGACTAAGTTATCCTTTAATAAAAATTATGTATATAGTTAAACTAGCCACACTAATTGACTCAATGGCATTGCAAGTTAACTTGGGCCACAGTAAGTTAAATGTTATTATAATGTTTAACATACTAGTATCCAGATTAATTTAATCCACATTACCCAGCCCATTTTGCAAGAGACATTTGTATTTCACAGCATTATATGGTTACCTTGGTGATATGAGGTCAGACTCTGAATTTGTCCTGTCTTTCATTATGGAACCTTCATGGCGCAGTCCAAGGTGAGAGGCCATTGCCATAGAAACTGGTGGGGTCATTATGTTCACTGGGTTAATTGGCATAAAAGGAGCAAGTGGTCCCATGGCATATGGATTATGAAATCCATTCAAGAAAGCTTTTCTGTCTGCAAAAAAAAAAAAAAAAAATAAATAAAATAATAATAATAATAACATTCTACATTAGACTGAATTCAAAATAAACCCGGTATATTTCAAAATTCGACCAAATCAGGGCATTGTATTGTTTTATCTTCTCATGGATAACATATGACCTTGAACTGTGGTCCAATTCTTTCTGGCCAAGTTTTAAAATGTAACAGCTATTCAAACTATGTCAAGATTCCTAAATGCCTTGATAATGAATAAAGAATTGTACAAAGGAGTTTCATAATGCAACTCAATCCGGAAATGTTTTTCTTCGTGGGGCTGCTTCGGAAGCTGGCCTTGTGCAATCATCATCTGCGGGAAGCTTTTCCAGCGCTGCTCACCATGGGAAGTTACACAGAACTGGGCCACTTCAGCCCCCTGATTTCACAGCAATCAATGACTGGTGGCTATATCTCCCATTGATCCCCAGGCCAAAATAATTGAAAAGCCAAGCCTTTGTCATTTTAAAAGATTTTCACAATACCTGACTATTTACAGAGAACGAGGTGAAGTTTGAATTTTGCCATTTATAACACACAGACAGATCAATTCAAACAACTTATTATTAAAAGTTTCATAAACATTTATAATGGACCTCTTCTTTTCATTTTTAAAAGTCATTTGTATATTTTCTTTGCAAACAGATGTCTAATGGTCAATGGGATTCGGTTAATATATGAGATTTCAGTGTAAGTCTTTGCCAAGAAAAAGTTTTCATCAGTAATTCCATTTACTTTGGGCTATTATCAAATTGTTTAATTAGTTGCAACATACTCATTTATTAATTCAAACTAAGGAAAAGATGACTGAGGAAAGCCATTAGTCTTAATACAAAAGTGAAATTTTAGCTTCCCTAACAACCTTTGCTTCGTGGTAAAATTTCATGACGAGTCGGTATCTAATAAAAATCATAAATACTTTAATTCTAAATCAATTGATCATGGGGCTATATTTTCTTTTATTAAAACTAGTAAATGGATGATTTCACTTGGATGAAATGCTATGTATTGATTTTAATGTCAGAGACCTAATTTTGACTGTTATAAAGAGGGTTTGTACCCAGCGGTTAAAACACTAAGGTCGCAACATTTGAAATGAAAAAGATTCTTATTTAAAAACACCTTTGAATATTGCATGACAATTTTAATACTCCATTATCGAAATCCATCAAAAACAAATCCTTTTGGAAAGTAAATTATTTCTGAAAGATATGGGGGTTTTCAACATGTCGTATCATATAAATCCCCAGTGTTAACAAATTATTTGATGTTCAGGTGCCGGCTAGTTAGATTTTCTGTTAAAGTAAATCAATGTTCTACCCCTGGCTATAATGAGAATAAAGTCATGTTACTATCAATAGTTTGCTTTTTATAACTTTTGAAGCCATAAAACTTAAATTTTTCAAACTTTAAAATATTTATAAGTCTCTTTGGAACTTTGTGCTGTCACCATAATTTAATTTAGAAGCATTACCTGGTATTAAAACAATTCAATATTCTGTCTGGAGTTACTTTAGACAGTGATACACTGAGAGATGCATGAGAGAAAATCGTTTATCTGATTGTGAAATCTGTGTTAATTAACTAGTCAACCCAGAAAAGAGACTGTCATTTCCCAACACAGCCAAATAAAGTCATTTGGATATATGTTTACATTTTGTCATTTCCCCACAATCAAAGAAATTTCATGTAAAATTAATATTAAGCCCCTTGAACAACTAAAGACACTTGTTGTTTTGTCAAATTGTGACATATTTCTTATTCATGACTGTCCAACATCTAAGGGAAATAACTCAGAAAATACTGGAACAATTCGTTAAATGTGTTACCCAATTCTTCTCATCAATAATCAAAGACATACAGTATAAAAGGATTTTATGACATTTCTAGCATCAGAGAGGAAATAAATACCAGTTCAGCTTTTGTTTCACTCTGTGTAATGGTGCACTAATGCACAGTTTCTTAAGAGTGCAATTACATTTATAACAAGAGTTCCTAAGAGTAAGATTCTTCTAGATATTAATCATTAATCATGTTAATTGGAAAAAACAAACAGTGCTTACGGATTTCTGTTAACAAAAGAAAATCCTACCTGAAAATACCTAATTCTCAAGAAATTCAAAGCAAAATCATAAACACCCAGAAAAAGTTCTTATAGACTTTGAAAGACTGTATAAGTATACAGAAGAATCAAGCATATTACAAGTACAGCATTGAAAAATACCAAAATACAGTAAAACACGCTTATAGCTAACACGCTTAATAATGAATTGACATTTATAGCGAAGTGATTTTCATTCCCTTTGACTTTAAGATATATTGAACACTTAACGAATATAACAAATTACGCTTATAACAAAGTAAATTTTCCCATCCTTGGCACTTTGTTATAAGCTTGTTTTACTGTATTCAATAATATATAATAATTTGTTTTTAAATAGTACCGGTAGTAAGTTTTTATTTAAAAAAAAAAAAAACTGTATAGACAATGAACAACTGGTAAGACAATCTCTATTTCCCACCCTAAAAGATTTAGAAATCTGAAAACCTTGTGAACTGAACACAATCTCCCTCTCCCCATAATATATATGCTTTTGTTTAGGGGTGTAAAAAAAAACAAAATGGTCACATTTGGAGCAAATTCCACAGGATTTCTGCATTACCTTTATGACTTCATATACCTTTGAAAAAAGTCCCATTTATTTTAATGCTGCAATGATATAATTAATAAAACAAGGCGGCCAATGATAATGTATTCCATTAGGAAATGAAGAAAAACTTTGGGTTCTCACTAATGTGCAGATAATCAAAATCATATAATAAAGTTCTGACTTTTCATTGATAAAGCAAATACATTTACACAAAATGTGTTCTTCAAGGCCATAAAATTTCATGAAATAACATGAACAGTTTTTATCGCATTTTCTTCATCTGATCAACAAATTCCTAAAGTTAATCTCATATTGCATTGGCATCAACAACCTTGGGTTGTAATTTTGTAACCTCTGAGACACCCTTTGTATTTGTTAACCATAAAAAATACCATTTTCTACTGACATCATGTTAGATGGAAGGACAGAATTCTTTCCAATGCATTGACTTCATTGAAAAATATCCATATGTGTTTCAGGGCCGCAAGTACAAGAGAAGAAAAAGAATATAATTACAGGTTTCTGTATATTACATCTGTAGAATTTTCCACAGCCATACCCATGTGACTAATCGCCCCTCCCCAGACTGAAGACTGACCGAATTCACCCCAACGTAGGCATGACATTCAGTTGTCTTGCCGTGACGAATTCACAAGGACAACTGGTTGAATTTTGTAACGATTGCTATCAAACATTCTGCCTCATATTTGTTTGTTTTTTGTTAACAAATGATCCAATCTTATCAAAGTAATTTTAAACAAAAAGGCAAATGTTGAAAACAAACAGTAAATTAGAGGATTGAAAACACTTCATTGCAGGCATGACCCTCAAAGAAACAGCATGAATAAGGACCATTGGCTCAAAATATTTAAAATAGGATACAGAATCCTGTAATTGTTTATAAAGATCTAAATTCCTACTCTCATTAAATGTTTTAAAAGATAAGATATTTTGTTGCATATTAAGCAATGAATCTGTTCAGCTTTGTCCATTAACGCAGCTTGGAGAGAGATCACCTGACCTGAACAGTCCTGCAGAAATTGTCAAGCAGAGAGAGTCCAGCAGTTCTTAATCACTGGTCATATTACAAGCCTTCATTGCCACCAATTGAAGAAAAACACAGAATTCCATTTATTTCATATAAATAGGAAAAAGTCATTTTCCTGAAATATCAGTGACCAGATAAGAAAATAGCAGAGGTGACAAGAGTTAATGATTCTGTCATGCCAAACGTGTGTTCCATCAATGTCCTCCAGATTTAAGATTCAATTAATGATGCTTGATAAATACAATTATATGCAAAATAAATTATCCAGTGTTTATTTCCTCCTACCACATTTAAAAATAATTACTGCTTTGTTTAGATATCTTCAAATATTCTGTGGTCATATCATCAACAAATGTAATTGCTTTCTTTTTCAGACGGTTCAATCCAATACACAGTTTTCCTTTGATAATATTTTCCAGCTTATCATACGCAATTTTCCTTATTCAAAATTTTTGTCACATTATATGACAGATATCATTCAGATTGGCATGTTTTAATTAAATATCTCCAATAGCCCATTTGGTGTTGATTTCATAGCTATAAAATATTTCATTTATTTCTCACTGAATTCTTTTCATTATCTAATTTCAATGAAAATAGAATTTGAAATTATAACACATAAAAGCAGTCATGCTATCCGTGTCTGTTGTGTTTATATATCCCTGTGGGTGCCAAGACTTTTTCCTCTCCAATTTGGACAGAAAACTAAACCTCCCAATTGTTCATTTCAGTATTTAGACTGGACTTTCCAAATTTACAAACCTGCCAAGATGTTTGATTGCACTCATATGTTTCAGAAATAATAATGGCAAGAAAAAAACTAAATACCCCTCTATTTCTACCATTGTTAATATATCATTAACCATTGCCAAGAATTGAATGCTGAAAAAACCTGGACTTGCTGCAATGTTTCCCAGTTGCTAGTTCTGGGATGGCCAGAAATTGGACGCACTGCCAAATTCCTAGAAATTTGCAATTCCACAGGTGATGCTCGAGGGTAAAATAAACCTGTCAGTGCTGAACCTGAAAATCTTCCCATTGTTGTTTGAATCTAATTTTTTTAATCAATAAATCATTTTTTTTTCACAGGAAAATTAATCTTAACTTCAAATGGTCATCTTCATTATCTTTTATTTAACCATCTGGTCAAGCAAATTAAGATACCAGCTGGTGAAGAAGATTACTGATACAAAATAAATACAAACCACTTTACAATACTAAATATGTATATATATATATCATTGTAATCATAATGCAAATCCATATGACAAATAACACATTTCTTTCATTCATGTTTCTAGGAAGCCAAGTATATTAGTTAGGTCACAAATGTAACAAGGACATTTGTGTAAGTATGTGTGTGTGCTTTCTATAAAACTTTAACAATTGCGAATTGTTTTTCAAAATCTGACAATGAACATACAGATAAATTTATTAAGAGCTCTTCCGATATCTGATTCTGTGTTATGTTTCTGAGACAGCCGATTGTATGATATAATGTTGTTGAATGGATGCTTTTATTTACCATAAAGAGCTCGAGGATCAAAAGGGTAGTCGCCATCAACTCTGCATTTCTTTAGCTTCTCCAGAGTTTCAGGACTGGCATGGATAGAGGGACTTCTTTTAGGTGGTCTCCCAGGACGAGCACTGCAAAAAAAAGAAGTTATATTTAATTCATTTTCAAAATTATTCAAAATTGCAACAAAGGGGGACAATTCTATCAGCCAGATGACGAAACGTGTTATTCAAAAATTAAATTAATAAATCAAAAAACAAAAGTTTTTTTGTCATGCCAAATGTCAGTTAAAATCAAGTAAAACAAACAGATGTATAAATACTTAAAAGTAGATAATAGGAGTGGTAACAAATTGTCCATTTGGTGAGGCAATAAATGAAGCTATGAAGAGATATCCCAACCACAAAAATGGGTCCTCCAATAAAATCACTATTACTGCATGGTAAGACACCAGATCCAAATCGTTTCAGAAAGAAAAAAATTGTGGATATTTGTGTTGGTTTTATGGCTGAAATGACATATTTAAACTGCAAAACAGCTGATATATGGGGTTTTCTGACTCCAAACAGCCACTTTTATTGCATAACGGCACATTGGAAACACAGAAATAAATATACACTGTTGTGTTTAATTGTTTTTCTTACTGCAAAAATTTGTACTCTCTGCTTTGTTTCAGTAATATATAAATAGAATACAATTTTTTTTTTTTTTTAATTTGATGGAATAATGAAGTTTCTGGTGGAAGTTGTAATTTTTAGCATGGAGTCAGGTTACAATCATAAATTATTCCTTTGGTTTATTTGATGGTATCATATCCAGTAAAGAAGGAGATCGTATCGTACAATTTTAATAAAACCTGTCACCTGGCCCTGCTAGCCCTTAATGCTCCTACAACTGTGTACCCAGAGAAAAGCTACAGTTTCACTCATTGATCCAAGCCTAATATTTCATCTTGATACATAATATTTCTAAGTCAATAAACAACATATTGAAATGTAACTTCAGGGGCCACAAGTACTCATCTTATACTGAACAGGGTTTCCATTATAGAGAAATCATAAAAATTGCCTCCGAATCACTTTGTATATAATTTGAAGTCTGTCAAAGACAAGCTAACCGGTATTTTACTCTAAATTAATGTTCTGGTGCCCGAACAAGCCGATCTTCATGCCCAAAAGACCCATACTTTTCATTTGATTAACGTTTTCAAATATTTCATCAATAGAACTTTTGAAATCATATCGTGTTCTTGCAGCACGACCAGCAGCCTTCTATAAAAGATCGACAAGGTATTTGAAGGTTTAGACTCCTTCGTGTTTTTACAGGTAACTGGATATGCAAATTAAGATACCTGCGTGAAATCAGAGAAACTTAAAATCTGATTCAGGTTACGTGGCATGAGGTACAGTCAAATTAAAGAACAGGAAAATAGTTGTGGTTCAGAAAAAGATTTAACCAATTTCATCATTTTTGTCTCTTCTTATCACCATTTCAAATGAACACACATTCTCAGATTGTTTGTTTTTCTTATCTTTTTCAATTCTAGAACTATTTGGTGATATAACTTTATTGATTTGGTGAATAATTGATGTAGATTAAACACAATTCCTTATCAATAAGCAACAGCAGCACGAGTACATCTCCCCTAACATCCTAAAATTTCATCATCTTACCAATAAAAACACTCATTGAAATTACCTTTATTAATTCTGAATAAATGTGCTGGATGCTCAACTGCGGTTTCGAATAGGAAGGCAATCACACTGATTTTTTTCCTTCCCCACCTCAACCCGGTGAAAACATCACAAATAGCCATGATATGTTCACCACATGGGGTACTCATGCCTCTATAAACATTAAATGTTTTTTTGCATTTGAGTGAATTCCATTTTCTGAATTCATATAGCTGAAATCACATGAATGCAACCTCTCAGTATCAAATTAGATGAAGGAAATTTGAAATGATCTCTTCTACTTTTTCTTTAATATTTTGCAAATATCATAAGCTTAATCTCTAGGTGATACAAAGTTACCCATGTGATTCACACCTTAAATGGCCAAAGAAAGGGTGAACTTGAGCATTTAACAGTTTAATGCAAATTATTCTAAAACCTCTCTTCATAATGTTCTGCACATTTCAAAATAACAGCAGACTTTAGTATGATTTGCCGTCAACAAAAAGTATCCACTTGACTTTAACACTGCAATGTCTTGGCTCTTAAACATGAAGTGCACCTGAGGGAATTATAGTTAAATAAAAATGAGAAAATTCAATTTTGGGCCCTTTGGATGACAAACCATCAGCAGGTGCTAGGGGTACAGAGAAAATCTGACTCCTAATTTGATACAATTTTCCGCAACATGACAAAAGCCATTGAAATATACCACTGTTGATGCTATTCATAATTAAAGTGGAAAAAAGAATTGTAAAGCAAACTTCTGCATGCAACAATTGTGAACTTCAATGGTCTTCAGACAGCGGACAGTTCAAATGACAAATCTACTGATTTTCTAAGTATAGGTTTGTCGTTTCAAACGCAGAATCTTCTACATCTTGAATGAAATCAAATGTTTGTCCTGCAAAGCTCTTATTATCTCTTTTTGCATTTAATATTCAAATGTTTCATTTCAATCCCAAACCCTTTGTGTACCACAAATTAGAAAAAATATAACATGATTTAAGCTTGCTAAACAGGTAAATATCGAATATCATGGCCCACACACAAAAATAATTCCCCCATTTAAGAGCTGCAAGCATTTCTTTTGTTGGGATAAAAGTTGTACCAAGATATAATTTGCTGAAATGAAATGTATCAAAAAAAAAAAATCTCTGGATGAATTTGACTGAAGTACCCCTGGCCGTGGATGAGAAGGAATAACACCTTTGTGTCACATATAATTTTGATATTGTCTGACAGATAAAGGAATGCCCATATATCCCCCTAACACTAGGTATTTTGCACCTCATTCCAGAAAAATGCATGAAAATGAATTGTCACCTTTTCCTATTTAGTAGCAATTAAAATGTCAAAAGGTATGACAAAATCATTGAAATAGTGATTTATTGTGAAGACAATTCAATCTCATGTTTTAAATTTCAGAACATTTCACAATAAAAAGACTGTTCTCGTCAGAATGAGAGCCTTCAATCCCAATACATAATTTTTTTGTTGTTGACATTTTACCTTCAGTTTTTGTTCTCTTTTAATGTACTGTAATATCTTTCAGTATTCCACCAACTCTACCTATTTCGAGCAAAAATAAATTAAATCTCAAGAGCACAACTTTGGCAAATACAAATTTTCATGTCTTTTTCTCTTGGATTTTTGTTCTTGTTTTAAGGGGATTCTGTTTAGATATGTATCTTTATTTATTTTAATCTTGAATTTAAATGATGTTATATGAAAAACTGAATTTACATTTAAACCTATTCATCCTAGTTATCACATTGTGAAAAATACACCAAAGATTCTATCATTCAATTAATTTTTTTTTTCATTCTTCTGCTCCAAGTCCTGCAAACAGGAAAGATCACTAGGGTAGACTGGGGTAATTTCGACCACTTTTGCTGATATATGGCTTTCAATCCCCAAAACACGATTGTTTTCAAATGTACTAGTTTAAAATAAGTTCAAAGTACAAAAGAATGATTTTTCCTCATATTTTTCTGCTTTACGAGTTAAAAATGCATAAAATATAATAAATTGGTCTAAAAATTAGTAAGCCTGCTGTATGGGTTAATTTCGACCAGCCTCGGGGTAATTTCGACCACAACAAACATAAACAAGAAAGATAACTCTTGCAATGTTTTGTTTGTATGTTGTTTAACGTCCCTCTCGAGAATTTTTCACTCATATGGAGACGCCACCACTTGCCGGTGGAGAGCTGCAAATTTTGTCCTATACTCGGCACTTACGGCCATTTAGCAGTGAGGGATCTTTTTCGTGCCAGCACCTACAGCGACACGGGACCTCGGTTTATACGGTCTCATCCGAAGGACCGGTCTCCACGTCCCACAGTGGGATTCGAACCCGCGACATAAGGATCAACTCCTTACTCCGCGACTCTAGAGCAGACGCTCTAACCACTGCGCCACGCGGGCGACCTCTTGCAATGTAAATAAGCTCAATCTGTCGCATTTTCTTTGAAATTTATGGTCGAAGAAACTATTTTTCCTCATTAAGAAAATACTACATTGGATAATGCTTGTTGATTCAGTAAAGAATTGGCTTGGGTTACATAAGTTTTTCAATGCTGCCAAAGACATCTATATGTAATTGTTATTCTTTATTCTCAATTCTGCATCTTTCACCAACTCTATATTTTCAATAGTTATTCAAATAAATCATATTTCTCAGACTCCACAATCTTTAATAATTAATATTATTAAACTGTCCAACCCGAAATGTATTTTATTCAATATCGTCTTTTAACAACAGGTTGGTTTAAAGTGTGCACGGCATAGGAATTGCGCTTTTTTTTTTTTTAATACATTTTCAGTACTGTACAAATTAATTTGAAATGTGTAGTATTTCGTACAGTATTGTTTTAAAAATAAACAAAAAATGTGTTTTGTTAAAAGACTGAGATAAATCCCGAGGAATTCAACTGTCATTAAAGAAGAGATTTACGCAAGCAATGTCCTCTGATCGAACCCCCCCCCCCTTCGTCGGAACCCACAGGTTTTCTCTCCGTTACACTACATACAACCCAGTTGAATGTAGTATAACGGAGAGAAAACCCGTGGGTTCCGACGATCCCCCCCCAACCCCAACCCCCCAAATATAATAATAAACAAACAAATCAATTATTTCGTAACATCATAGGTTTTTGTTTTAAAAGTAAAGATTACAGCTCTTTTGGTGTGTTGTTCTGATAGTTTGCATACTATTTGGATTTGTTCATACTTGTACCTTGTGATATACGATCTGAATACTGATAGTTCCTGGTTTTCGAAAGCCTCGAAGTCTTGTCCGTCAAACGCATTCGTAATAATTAGAAAAAAAATACAAAAATTTGATTTTTTAAAAATATTTAATATTGCCTGCATCCTCTCTTCCCTTTTATTAATTTGACAGTTTTGGAATATTTTGGATTGCTCTCGTCATGTGTTTTTTTTCATAGCAGTTCT